ATTTTTCTACTTAGAAAAAACAAGAAAGCTTTTTTGCATTGGGAGAGTAAAGCCAGTCACTGCACTCTACTACTCCACAGCATGTTTTTGTTGTTATTGTTGTTGTTTGGATTTTTGTTTGCTTGCTTTGCTTTTTTGAGATGGAGTCTCACTCTGTCACCCAGGCTGGAGTGCAGTGGTGTGATCTCGGCTCATTGCAACCTCTGCCTCCCGGGTTCAAGTGATTCTCCTGCCTCAGCCTCCCCAGTAGCTGGGACTACAGGTGTGTGCCACCACGCCCAGCTAATTTTTGTATTTTTAGTAGAGATGAGATTTCACCATGTTGGCCAGGCTGTTTTCGAACTCCTGACCTCAGGTGATCCACCCGCCTCAGCCTCCCAAAGTGCTGGGATTACAGGTGTGAGCCACTGCACCTGGCCTTCACAGCATTTTTGAGAGGCTTAAATGACATAGTGCATGGCACTGCTGTGTGTGGTAAAAAGGAGAGCCCTGTCCTTATGCTGGCCTACTCAGTTCCACCTTGTAGGACCTGCTCTTTGAACTCAGAGTCTGAAGTTACAGTACCCATGTTTGCCCTTGAGCCTTGGGACCAACCTTAGGGGTGGGGTAGGGCTGAGGGCCTGCCAGAGAATCATGCTGAGTAGAAAAGTCTGTGCGGCTGCAGGCCATGCAGGGTTGCTTGGGCACTGGCTCACCAGGACTGTGTTTATGCAGCTTACTCCCCACTGGGCTTCAGGGCTGCTAGCCAGGGACACCTAATTGGCGGGACAGAGCCCCCTCCTCTCACCACCCTCAAAGCTGGAATGTTCTGAATTCCTTCTTGGGCCAAATACCCTCCCCACAAGACCTCTCCTGGGTTCACAGAGGTCACCACACAAAAGCCCAGCTGGAGTGGAGTTTTTGACAGAAAAAAAAACACACACACACAAAACCCACCAAACCCTTTTTTTTTTTTTTTTTTTTTTCCTAAAGTACCTCAGTCTTTCCCAGCCTCCAGGGGTTTAATTCTGATCTGTAATAAGTCTCTGACCCACGGCTCAGATTTGCAGATGGATTTTGCAAAGCTGTGGTTAACGATTAGAAATCCTTTATCACCTCAGCCCGTGGCCCCTTGTACTTCGCTCCCCTCCCTCAGGATCCCTTTCTCCCTCTCCAGGGGCATCTCCCCCTCCAAGGCTCTGCAAAGAACTGCCCTGTAAGTATCTCCATCCTGATATAGTTGCTGCCTTTTAAATTCACTGAGGTGGGCACTCTTCCTTCCTAGTCACTATCCATTCACCCCATGGTGGAGCCAGGCTGGGCCAGTTTGGGTTTCTGAGTGAAGGGTATGGGAGGGTTGGGTTGGTAGTATTTGTTTCCTCAAAGCTATCACAAAGATTCTAGTCTTTAAAACTTCAGGACCAGAGAAAGCGCTCTCCAAATCAGATATTTTCTGGTTTGGGGGGTTAAAAGGACTGGGATAAAAATTGGAGGAAGGAAGCCACAGTTTACCTCTCTGCCTAAGTGTAGGGGGCTGAGGAGGGGCAGAAGGAGCACTCCCTCACAGCCAGTTCCAGTGCCCTCCTTGGCATGAAGGCTCAGGGAGGTAACAGAAGGTGGGTTCCTAAGTGAAGTCATAAAGTTTCCCCATGACGCCCTTCAATAACTCTCCCCCACTGGTCTGCAAGTCTGTCATTAGAAATTCCTTCTTTGGACTGAGGCATTACTCTCTTCAAGTGCCCTCTCTGAAAATGAAGTTGGAACCAAAACATTCACAGCACTTCTGCCTGGGGAGATTGTAGGCGATTTTTGTTTTCTAAATTCTGCCTTTTTGTGTTTTCCAGTGTTCTAAAGTGAGAATGCTTTACTTTGATAATCAGGACAAAAATCAACTTCCTTTTCAAACAATTAGAAAATCTCTCAATCCAGTTGCAATTCTCTGAACTGCCATCAATCAATTGATGCAGAAGGAAAGATGAACTGCACTAAGGACAAACTTTTGAGAAAGTAGAGCCTCGAGGGAATGGCTTTGCCACATACTAGTGCCCTTGGCAGCTGGAAGTGAGGTTCAGAGAAGGGGGCAAGCGTCTCAGATTCTTATGAGGGGCAGCGAGATCAAGAGATGGAGAAATGAGGCTGACTGACAGAAGAGGGCTGTGGTGGCCACCATCAGCCCCAGAAGGCCACATCAGTTCCTTCCTTGAGCCTGGGAACCCCAAGTGCCTGTCCCATGTACTCTTAGGAGGGTACTGCCAAATAAAGAGTACCACGCATAAGACTCTTGGAGCAAGAGATGGGGAGAATAGCAGGGAAAGTGCCCAGGTGAGAAGGGGTTAAGTCAGGAGCTGCGGTCAATCTTGACCCTCCTAATCCTCTCCTGCAGCTCCAATCCCCCCACTAGGGAAGATTAAGTAAGGATCCTAAGTTAAACTTTCTTGCCCAGTCCTTGGGCCATGGAGTATGTTGGCCCCATGCCCAGAAGACAAATTCAGCTGGCAAGGCCTAGAGTCTTCTGTACCTCCAGAACAGCCAGTACTTGACTTCTAGGAGGATCCCTCAAAGAGAGGTTTCTATTAAAGCTGGCTGCTTCTAATAACAGCTCTTCAGTCTTCTATATTTGTCAAAGTGGCTTCCTGTCCCCATGCCTTTGAGACTCAAAATCTTGGAGATGACAAACTAGGGCCTAGAGAAGCTATAGGACTTCCTCAACAGGTTCCAGGCAGAACTGACACAACAAGAAGCTAGATCTTTTGATTCTAACACCAGGACCCTGTCTGCCCTCACCTCTACTGCTCATCAGACAAACAAAACCCTGGCTGAATGCAGCCTGGCTCACCACCCAACCATTTGCCATTTAACTGGTCTTCCTAACCCTGGTGGAAAGCTGAACCCATCACTCCACGCCCCCCGCCCCTGCATGGGGCCATTTTTGCCACTCGAATAAGCTTCAATAACTTGTTCTTCCTCCTGCCTGGGCATGCTGCTATGTCAAGTCAGACTCTAGAGATTCTAAGCCTCAGTAATGGCATTTTCTTGACTCTGTCCTCTCCCTCACCCCAAAATACTTGCCTACTTACTACTACTTAGGACAGGCTCTGGGGAGAGGCTTTCCTCTTGGGGACACTGTTGATTCCCTTGAGAAACTCAAGCTTGGCTCTTCTGCTGCCATCCCAGGAAGGCTGAAGCAGGAGCTGCTCCTCTGGGAAGCAGTAAGTAGGTCTTCCCCCTGAAAACCTCAAGGTATCTCACCAATTCTCACTGAAAACTCAGATACAAATAGGAGGAGGAAGGGAAAAGTACTGAACCCAGCCTGGGTGAGCAGCAGGGAGGGCCCAAGGATGGTTTCAAGGCAAGGATGCGTCCTGAAAGATGATTTGCAATTATCCAAGCAAATGGTGGATGGTAGAATAGCATGCGTAAGGGCTTGGACACACAGAGAAAGGCAAAGTCAGAGAAATTCAAGTGCTTAAGTTTGGCTGGATCATATGTGTATGTATAGGAGCATAAAGCATGAGGTTGGTAATGGTGTAAGATGAGGCTGTGAAGAAAAGCAGGGGTGAAATAATGGAGGGCTTTCCTGGTTTCCTGGGCTAGCAAGTTTGAACTTCATCCTGAAATACTTAAGAGCTCCTGAAGATTTTTTTTTGTTGTTGTTGTTGTTTTTTGTTTTTTGAGACAAAGTCTTGCTCTGTCTCCCAGGCTGGAGTGCAGTGGCACAATCTCGGCTCACTGCAACCTCCACCTCCCGGTTCAAGTGATTCTCCTGCCTCAGCCTCCCAAGTAGCTGGGACTACAGGCACACGCCACCACGCCCAGCTAATTTTTGTAGTTTTAGTAGAGACGGGGTTTCACTACGTTGGCCAGGATGGTCTCAAACTCCTGACCGCATGATCTGCCCACCTCGGCCTCCCAAAGTGCTGAGATTACAGGGGTGAGCCACCGTGCCCGGCTGAGCTCCTGAAGATTTTTAAGCATGGCAAAAGGTGAGGTGAGAGTCACAATTTGATTTCAACTTTACAAAGATCTTTGACTACTGGGTGGGTAATTCATTAATGCAGGATTGGGGCAGAAGTGAAATTAGAGAGATCAATTTGAGGTGTCTATGAGATTTCCAAATGGTCAAGAAACAATGGTTGCATAGTCTGAATTATGGTTTGGGCAGTGGCAACAGAAAGAAGTAGATGGATTCACGGTCTATTTCTGAAGGCAGACCTGATGGTACGTTACAATTAATTATATGTCAACAAGAGTGAAAAAGCAAGGTTAACTGGCTTGGGTTATTAACTGGGTGATGGCCCCACTGAGGTAAGGAACACTGCATGAGGAGCAGTTTGGGCACGGGGAGAGAAAGGGCAGATGATTCCAGCTTTGCAAATGTTGAATTTGAGGCCATTAAAACATTCAGGTAGGGCCATTCCAAGTAACAGTTAACTACACAAATCTTGAGCTCAGAGAGAAATCTGTGGCAGAGGTATGAATTCAGGAGTCACTGGCATGGAGACAGAGTGGATGAAATAACCCATGAAGAATGTGAAGGATAAGAAGAGCCGTCTAGAAGTCAAGATTAAACCCTGAGGAGGCTACAGGGGCAGAGATAGATAGTTAGACTTAAAGAGTGAGCAGCAGAAGAGGAACTTATAAAGGAAAACTAGAAGAATCATTTTGAGAAGTAGGTAAAATGGAATGGTGCTACAGAAAACAAGGGAGAAGATAGTTTTATGAAGGAGAGAGACAAGGTGAGATGACAGAGATATGATCATTGAATTTTGGAACAAGAAAAGAGTTGATAACTTTGGTGAGAATATTTTCAGTGGAGGGCTAATGGTGGCAGCCAGACTGCAGAGGGCTGAGCAGTGAGTGGGAGGGTGAAGAAGTGGAGACATCAATAATGAATGGCTTAAGGATCTTGACTGCAAAGAGAATGATCAAGATAGAAGTAACAGCTGCACAGGGAGGAGGTAGGATAGGGAGCTCAAAAAATAGTAGTAAATATTTGAAGTAGTCATCAGAAGGGTGCTTACCAGGGAGAAGTAAAAGCATTTCCAAGCAGCACTGAAGGCCTCAATGAGATGCACAGTCATGATCAGGACAGGTACAATTGTGCCAAGGTTAGCAATAAGAAACCAATGTCAAGAAAGACTTGTTAATGAGTGACAGAGGTGAGATTCAAACTATGTCTCTCTTCATTCATCAAATGTTTATCAGCTCCTGCTCTGCAGTGCTTTGCATCAACACTGGCATTGGTGTTTCCAAGGCTGATGAATCGTATTGACTATCAATCATGTGCCCAATGCTGTGGAAGCATGATAGACATTTAATATATATTTTTTCACCCTCAAATTGTTAGGATTTGGTTGAAGAGACGAAATATTCCACAAATATATATATTATAAATATATATATAATATACATTATATATATGGTGAAGCTCTGCCCTCTCTCTCCCCCTTTACCTATTTCTTCCTCTGATCCCCCATCTCTCTCTCCTTCTTCTTTCCCAACATTGGGCAGCACTTCAATGACCCTTACACCGAAGCATTATTGACTCATTTGGGAAGTCCCTATATTTTAGTTACATGGAGCCCCTCAAACCTCTTTGCCAACTTCATTCATTCATTAAGAAGATAGTTTTTGAATTGCTGCTCTGGGTAAAGCAGTGTGTAAGGCACATGAGATACAGAAATAAATAAGATACAGTCTTGCCCTCAAGTAGCTCACAGGCTAATAGGGAAGAATAAGGGTTTAAACAGGAAATTGCAACATAATGCAAAATGTACTATCTCTGCCTCAGTTTCTTCATCTATACAATAGGGATTATTAGTGCCTACCACAAAAAAACTTGTGATGATTAAATAAGTTAGCACATAAAAAGTGCTTATAATGGTCCCATAAGAAACACTACATAAGTGTTACTATTATTATTATTATTACTATGATGGAAGTAAACACAAGATACTGTAAGAATAGACAGGAGGGGTACTTGACCCAGGCTAGAGTAAGAGACATCTGCACTGAATCCTAAAATACGAGAAGGCACTAAACAGAGGAAGAAGAATACATTAACACTCTGCATAGAATATTCTGTTCTATTTCTATTTGGGAGCAAAAGACCACATGGCATGATTGAAGACTGGAAGTAATTTAGTTCCACAATAGTATAGACTATGAGGAGGGAAAGGGCAAGAGATGAAGCTTGAAAGGTCATGGAGTACAAGCAAGTTTGGACTTTTACTTTTTAGCAAATGGGGAGCCATTGGAATGCTTTATGTAGAGTAGTGACTTGATCAGATTAATGTGTTGAAAGATCACCTTGGCAATGATGTAGAGAATGAATTGGGAGAAAGACCAGTTATAATCCAGGTGAAAGAGAATGAGGAGGTCGTGTATGGTGGCTCACGCCTGTAATCCTAGCACTTTGGAAGGCCGAGGTGGGCAGATCACTTGTGGTCAGGAGTTCGAGGTCAGCCTGGCCAGCATGGTGAAACCCTGTCTCTACTAAAAATACAAAATTAGCTGGGTGTGGTGGCATGCACCTGTAGTCCCAGCTACTCAGGAAGCTGAGGCACAAGAATCGCTTGAACCCGAGAGGTGGAGGTTGCAGTAAGCTAAGATCACACCACCCCACTCCAGCCTGGGCGACAAAAGCAAAATTCTGTCTCAAAAAAAAAAAAAAAAAAAAAAAAAGAATGGTGAAACTCTGACCTAGGGAAGTAGTGGAAATGGAGACAAAGGAACCATAGATTTGAGGTATATTCATAAGGTAGAACTGGTGGGACATAGGGACTATAGGATGCAGGAGGTAAGTACAAGAAAGATGCCAAAGATCACTTTCCAGATTTTGGTCTGGCACAAGGGGACGGATAGAAGTATCATTCAGTGAACACAGGGAACCCAGGGAAGAACTGTTTGGGGAAAGCTGCATGGGGGAGGTGATGAGTTCTCTTTTGGACATGTCAAATTTGAGATGTCTATGAGATTTCCCTGTGGAGATTCTGACTAGGTGATTGCTCTGCCAGTCTTGAAGCTCAGAAGGGTCTATCCTGGCAATTCAGATTTGGAGGGTCAATGGATGGGTAGTAGATTAAGTTATGGGGGCAAGATGAGTTTGCTCAGGGACAGAGTGTTAATTGAGAAAAGGATGGACTTCTGAGGAATACTCACATTTAAGAGATGAGTAGGGAAAGAGAAATCTTGAAGAAGGCTAAAATGGAATAGCCAGATTGTGGTGGGTTGAAAAAGTAGTGGGTTAGGTCAGACGGTGGCTCATGCCTGTAATCCCAGCACTTTGGGAGGCTGAGGCAGGCAGATTTCTTGAGCTCAAGAGTTCAAGACCAGTGTGGGCAACACGGCAAAACCCGGTCTCTACAAAAAACACACATACACACACACACACAATTAGCCAGGTGTGGTGCTATGCTCCTGTAGTCCCAGCTACTTGGGGTGCTGAGGCAGGAGGATCGCTTGAGCCCAGAAGGTTGAGGCTGCAATGAGCCGAGATCATGCCACTGTACTCCAGCCTGGGTGACAAAGTGAGAACCTGTCTCAAAAAGAAAGAAAGAAAAATCAATGGGTCAGAGGGTCTTATAGAGAATGGGGAGGTGTACCCATGACCCTTAGTGTCCTGAATCTTGGCAACACTAGGGGCTCCTTGAACACTGCAAAATCTTATATGGCTCTGAGATTCCAAAGCATTGACTCAGATACCCACCTCATGCAAAGCCCTATATTCTAGAGCAGTTTCCCTTTCCTCCATGGCAGACTCTTGTCCCCCTAACACATGTCCCAGGGAATTTCAAGGCTCCCTCTCAGTCCTGGAACCCTTGTTCCAGAGTGCTCCCTCATCATCCAAGGGGCTGATGATGGGAGCATCTCTTAGGAGACTGGACAGGAAATGTCTGGGCATGTTACACATGCAGGAGGCTTTAGACTAGGCTGCAGAGGGGGATTTGGGCATGGCTGGGAGGATCTGAACTCTCAGAGTATGGACAGAAGGCTTTGCTGCCTACCCCCATCTGTCCTGGAGTAGATTTTCAACATGGGCAGAATGATTCAGGGCTAGGCCACTACTCTCTAGGCCCCTGGAGATTCAAGAGGCCTCTAATAAGCTGGAGTCCAAGGCTACATTCTAGGATCTGTTCCTCCAGAAGCAGTCTGCAGTTTGACCTCAGTCTGCAATTGAGGGGCCCTATGGCACTGTTGCTTGGCAATGTATTAAACAGCAGGCCTTAGAGACTAGGACTTGAGTTAACACAGCCACCACAACCGCCACAGCCATCATCACCTTCCCGGAAGGCAGCCACCTGTCTGGCTCCTGGCTTTGTCCAGCTGCCAACCTAAGGCATGTGCCTACGCAGGAGGCGATGACATTTTGGCTCCACGTTCAAAGTTGTTTTTTTTTTTTTTTTTTTTTCCTTTCTCATGTGTTATTTCTAAAGATAACAAAGGTCAAAAGGCATCCAGCATTTTCTGGTTTCTCATAAGCTTCTGGTCAATATTTAATCTGGTTTATGGATTTTTTTTAGGTCTTCTAGATGCCTTCTTGAGCCTGCTTGTGGCCACCCACAGACACTTGTAAGGAGGAAAGTCAGCAGCCTGGCAGAGAGACTCTGAAATGAGGGATTAGAGGTGTCCAAGGAGCAAGAGCTTCAGCCTGAAGACAAGGGAGCAGTCCCTGAAGACGCTTCTACTGAGAGGTCTGCCATGGCCTCTCTTGGCCTCCAACTTGTGGGCTACATCCTAGGCCTTCTGGGGCTTTTGGGAACACTGGTTGCCATGCTGCTTCCCAGCTGGAAAACAAGTTCTTATGTCGGTGCCAGCATTGTGACAGCAGTCGGCTTCTCCAAGGGCCTCTGGATGGAGTGTGCCACACACAGCACAGGCATCACCCAGTGTGACATCTATAGCACCCTTCTGGGCCTGCCCACTGACATCCAGGCTGCCCAGGCCATGATGGTGACATCCAGTGCAATCTCCTCCCTGGCCTGCATTATCTCTGTGGTGGGCATGAAATGTACAGTCTTCTGCCAGGAATCCCGAGCCAAAGACAGAGTGGCGGTAGCAGGTGGAGTGTTTTTCATCCTTGGAGGCCTCCTGGGCTTCATTCCTGTTGCCTGGAATCTTCATGGGATCCTGCGGGACTTCTACTCACCACTGGTGCCTGACAGCATGAAATTTGAGATTGGAGAGGCTCTTTACTTGGGCATTATTTCTTCCCTGTTCTCCCTGATAGCTGGAATCATCCTCTGCTTTTCCTGCTCATCCCAGAGAAATCGCTCCAACTACTACGATGCCTACCAAGCCCAACCTCTTGCCACAAGGAGCTCTCCAAGGCCTGGTCAACTTCCCAAAGTCAAGAGTGAGTTCAATTCCTACAGCCTGACAGGGTATGTGTGAAGAACCAGGGGCCAGAGCTGGGGGGTGGCTGGGTCTGTGAAAAACAGTGGACAGCACCCCAAGGGCCACAGGTGAGGGACATTACCACTGGATCATGTCAGAAGGTGCTGCTGATAGACTGACTTTGGCCATTGGATTGAGCAAAGGCAGAAATGGGGGCTAGTGTAACAGCATACAGGTTGAATTGCCAAGGATGCTCGCCATGCCAGCCTTTCTGTTTTCCTCACCTTGCCGCTCCCCTGCCCTGAGTCCCCAACCCTCAACTTGAAACCCTATCCCCTTACCTTAAGCCAGGCCTCAGAGGATCCCTTTGCCTTCTGGTTTACCTGGGACTCCATCCCCAAACCCACTAATCACATCCCACTGACTGACCCTCTGCCATCAAAGACCCTCTCTCTGGCTGAGGTTGGCTCTTAGCTCATTGCTGGGGATGGGAAGGAGAAGCAGTGGCTTTTTTGTGGGCATTGCTCTAACCTACTTCTCAAGCCTCCCTCCAAAGAAACTGATTGGCCCTGGAACCTCCATCCCACTCTTGTTATGACTCCACAGTGTCCAGACTAATTTGTGCATGAACTGAAATAAAACCATCCTACGGTATCCAGGGAACAGAAAGCAGGATGCAGGATGCAGGATGCAGGATGGGAGGACAGGAAGGCAGCCTGGGACATTTAAAAAACTAAAAATGAAAAAAAAAAAAAAACAAAAAACCAGAACCCATTTCCCAGAGCACTTTCCAGAATTCTCTCATATTTGTGGGCTGGGGATCAAGCCTGCGGCTTAAGGAAAGCACAAGGAAAGGAAAGAAGATCTGGTGGAAAGCTCAGGTGGCAGCAGACTCTGACTCCACTGAGGAACTGCCTCAGAAGCTTCGATCACAACTTTTGCTGAAGCCCCTGCCTCACTCTGGGGCACCTGACCTGGCCTCTTGCCTAAACCACAAGGCTAAGGGCTATAGACAATGGTTTCCTTAGGAACAGTAAACCAGTTTTTCTAGGGATGGCCCTTGGCTGGGGGATGACAGTGTGGGAGCTGTGGGGTACTGAGGAAGACACCATTCCTTGGTGGTGGCCAAGAAAGAATAAGAACCTTGCTATCTAAGAAGCCAGGTGGATGTGTGCAGTGGCTCCAGTGGGTGTTTCTACTCTGCCAGCGAGAGGCAGCCCCCTAGAAAGTCTTCAGGCGTAATGGAAAATCAGCTCAACTGAGATCAGGCCCCCCCAGGGTCCACCCACAGAGCACTACAGAGCCTCTGAAAGACCACAGCACCAAGCAAGTCCCTTCAGATTCCCCCACTGTCCATCAGAAGATGTTCCAGAGTGGCTAGAGGGCATCTAAGGGCTCCAACATGGCATATCCATGCCCACGGTGCTGTGTCCATGATCTGAGTAACAGCTGCACTGCTGCCTGGGATTGTAGCTGAGGTGGGAGTGGAGAATGGTTCCCAGGAAGACAGTTCCACCTCTAAGGTCTGAAAATGTTCCCTTTACCCTGGAGTGGGAGTGAGGGGTCATACACCAAAGTATTTTCCCTCACCAATCTAGGCATGACTGGCTTCTGAAAAATTTCAGCACACCTCCTCGAACCTCAGTGTCAGCAGAGAGGGCCCATCTGTTGTCTGTAACATGCCTTTCACATGTCCACTTTCTTGTCCATGTTCCAGCTGCTCTCCCAACCTGGAAGGCCCTCTCCCTTAGCCAAGTCCTCCTCAGGCTTGGAGAACTTCCTCGGCATCACCTACTTCATTGAGCCTTCTCTGATCACTCCATCCCTCTCCTACCCCTCCCTCCCCCAACCCTCAATGTATAAATTGCTTCTTGATGCTTAGTATTCACAATTTTTGATTGATCATTATTTGTGTGTGTGTGTGTCCGATCTCACAAGTACACTGTAAACCCTTCGGTGGGTGGGGGCCATATCCTAGACCTCTCTGTTTCCCCCAGAGTATCTGTAACAGTGCCGGGCACACACTAGGTGATCAATAAACACTTGTTGATTGAGTAACTGTCTTACTGATTAAAAGGGGCCCAGAATGGGCAAGTGAAACTCGAGGGATTTCGCCTAAGGGGAGGGGA